GTAGATGTGGGGAAGGGGGAACCCTCATTGCTGCTATGATTGAAAACTGGAGCAACCACTATGGAAAGCAGTATGGAGAACTCTTGAAAAAACTTAAAATAAATCTGACATATAATCTAGTTATACAACTCCTTGGCATACACCCAAAGGACTCATCCTACTGCAGAGATACTTGTACAGCCATGTTTGTTGCTGCTCTTTTCACAAAAGCTAAGAAATGGAAACAACCCAAGTGTCCCTCAACTGATAGATAATTAAAATGTGGTACATTCACATAATGGAGTTCTACTCATCAGTAAAGAAAAACGAAATCATAAAATTTTCAGGTAAATGACTGGAACTCAAAACTGTTATACTAAATAACAGATTAAGAAAAAAACAAGTGACATAAGATCTCTCCCATTTGTGGATCTTAGCTCCAAACCCTTATATGTGAGTATATATCTTGATGTAGGAAAATAAAAAGGAAACATGGAATAAAGGGAAAGAAAGAGCCCAAGAGAGGGGGTAGTAAGATAAAGGTGTACATATCAAGGGGGACTTATTTAACTGGGGAAGGTGGAGAAACTTCCTTTCCAGTTGTTGGGTAGGGTAGTCCAAGAGACTTCCAAAATAGCCCCGTGCTATTGCCACAGCCCTTGATTGCCTCCGAGAATTTGAAGGTAAGACCCTATTGCTGAAGGTAGGACATACTTCGGACACAGGGCTTTCAGAAATCAAACTGGAACTGACCAAGATGCCTCTTTCCTGAAGACTAGTTCTCATAGTATGAAAGGATACTATACAAACTGCTAAGGGAGAAAAATCAGTCAATGGTCCAGCCAATCTGTAAAGCCCAATAACCACAACAAAGTCTGGTCCAGTGCAGTAGGGGCACTGTTATTTTGGGGCTAATCAACAGTTATCCTTTTGGACCTGAAGCCCTCTCAATGGAAGGGAATTCATGTGTGGTACTGTAATGCCCAAATACACATGGCTGGTGAGGTCATATATCCTAGAGAAAAACATACATCTGTCACATCCCTAGAGAAATGTAATTTCTTACTGTATGCTAAATATGGATTCTTATATTTACAGACAAGCATACCATTCAATATTCATCAAAGAAGCTTCTTTTCCCATTATATGGAGACTGTTACAGAGTTCCACACTTGGTCAAATGCAGAGAACAAATATCTGTGAGATGCCCAGCCCTAAGTGACATATCCACACCTCTACACCTAAGGCTCAAGGAACATAGTGGAACGGGGAACAAAGACTATTAATGCATCGCTCAACTCACAACAGCGAAGGTTGCTCAAGCAAAAGATGGCTATTAAATCTCTGCCATCTAGGGCTCAGGGACAGTTGGGGAAGAGGGGGCAGAAAGACTGTAAGACAGGGTTGATGGATGACCAAAAGGAAAAGTTTTCCAGGCAGTTGGAAATTTGCTTATATGAACTTACAGCAATGGTAACAGCATGTACATAATCCATGCATCTCAAAACACACAAAAACATGGCACAGAAGTGTGGAAATGGGTTAGAAGCCCAAAGCTTAACTGAGGAACTATTGGGAACTGATCACTGCTGGATAAGGGAGAGTTGTTTTTCTTTAAAGGAGTGATGCTAGATAGGTTGACCAGGCTCAAGAGGATCGACTCATACCAAGGGATATTTGAGGACAAAAATGACTCAATAGGCCTTAACACATACAATAGAATACATGAAATCTGACAGGAGGCTATGGCGGGCACAGATAACGGAGGGTGTATAAATATGATCAAGATGTATTGTACAAAATGCCCAAAAATTGGATAAAAATTTATTGAATTTTTAAAATATTTCATTGAATGTTATTGTATTTTTAAAACACGTGTAGACAAAAATAGGTGTCTAGCATTCATTTGCCAAGCATGTTACATAAGAATCATCCAAACAGAAAAAAGTGAAGAAATTAAAAGACGGGAGGAGCTCACAGGCTTCAAGATGTTACATGTTCTTCTGAACTCACTGGAAAATGTACAAAATTAACTATTGCTGTGAAAATAATATGAAATAATAAAACTATCAATTATACAATGCATTACTGAATAGGTCCTTATAGAAACAGTTTCGTCCATTTCCATATATAGATTCCCATTTGGGCTGGTGCATGAAGTTTGGAGATGCATAATAATGGGTGATGGATTATGGAGATGTACAATAAGTATAAGGATCTTTAATAAGGCACTACTGAGGGCTGGAGAGATGGCTCAGTGATTAAGAGCACTGACTCCTCTTGGAGAGGACCTGGGTTTGGTTCCCAGAAGCCATACAGTGGCTAACAACCATTGGTAACTACAGTTCCAGAGGATCTGATGCCTGCTTCTGGCCTCCTCAGGCACTGCATGCCTGAGTACACATTTACATACAGGTAAAACAGTCATACACGAAAAAATAAAAATAAATGAATTTCAAAAATAATGCACAATTGAAGTATGGAGATACTTAATGGATGATAAAGTATGGAGATGTCCGTTGAGTTAAAAAGAAACAAAACATTTATGCTAAATAGCATCCCACTGTGCTGCCATTCTTCTGACAAACAAATGTGAGGCCCTGTAAAAATCAAAAGAACAAGTTACATACTTCTGAAAAAGGATGACATAAGGTAAACACTCCCATTCCAATAGGGAGAAAAGTGTCATAGAAAGGATCAGATTAAACAAGGCTAAAACTCATGAAAGCGTCAATGGTATAACTCCATTTTGAGCAGGCTGGACACATTGTGGTGAACTGTAGGCTCCCAAGGCTTGGACAGTTTCAACTCCATAGCCTTGCCAACTGAAGCCAATATGGCTGTTCCACTCAGCTGCTCTGCCAACTGCTTGAAGCTCCATTAGCAAATGCCCCACTATCTTCCTGAGATCTCCATGTGCCTTCAGTCTCCTCACAATTTAAAACCAAACACCATATAATCCTTTTAGGGATTATTTTGGCTCAGTTTTGGAGGTTTCAGTCCAAATTTGGTTTGTCTTGTTTCTTTTAGACCTGTAGTGAGGCATTACAACCCACTGAAGAGTGCAGAGAGCATCAAAACTCATTTTTATTTAAGAAACAAAAGAAAGTGTGTGATCCTACTATTGCTTGCAAGAGAATGCCCACAATGACTAGAAGAGCTATCACTAAGCGTCACTTTAAAAAAAAATTATTATTATTTTTTAGTGTATTGCCTGCATGTACGTAAGTGCACCTGTGTCATGCAATGCCCAGGGAGGTCAGAAGAGGGTGTCGGATCAGGAGTTACAGACCATTGTTAGCCATCATGTGGGTTCTGGGACTCAAACTCAGGTCTTCTGCAAGATCAGCACCCACATGGCATCTATGAGAACGAGGATACAAGTCTAAATGTCATTTTATCAGTGCAGATGGAGGTTTTTGACAAAGCTGGGGCACCAGGGCCTTGCGAAATTTCTGCAAATATTCTTATATGGACTTGAATGACAATATCTGGATTCATACGTATGTTAAAAATATAGTAAACCCTGAAGATGTGTATATTGGCATAAATCTCAATTGAAAAACAAGAGTGTGTAGAAGACAAGGGAAAACTTTCAAGATTTAACTTGACTTTGATTTTTCAAATTGAACCCACACAAATTAGAGGGTAGTGTAGTTAAAAGTATTTTATCTTCCAATGTGTACATTTGTATATGGATCTATTTTGTGAAGATGCAGAAGAAACAGAAAATAAGTGGGAAGATAGGAAAATCTATGATATACACTGTTTCAAAATATGGAAGACTTCTTCATGATGAACAAGAAATGAACAAGACTGAAGACCAAGAGACAACAGTATTTGTGTGACCTTTCCCTGGGGAGATGAGAACAAAATATCTGTTCTCCAAACACAGGGCGCCAACTACAAACAAGAAATAATTCTTTCAAGTCTAAGTTGGTGAAACAATGAGTTTAATATGGTTGCTTACAAGAACATGGGGGAACTTACAGGTGACTACACCACTGAAGAAAAACACCTCTCTTCCAGCAACCATTAACTGTCTATACATTATTGGGAAGGACCAGGGCCTTGAGTCCTCTCTAGTAACTGTTAATTGCTTACAAATCTTGAGGAAGAGAAGAGCCTCATGAACCATCTCCCCTTGGCATTATTCACTGTCTATAAATCCCTGTGAGGGGCATGGCCTCATGAGTTATCTCCTTTGGTAGCCACTAACCGTATGTAAATCCTTGGGGAGAGGAGGCAGCAAAGCAAATTAGAACAAGGGATGAGAAATGAGAACTACTTTTGGATCTGTTGTCTCTATTGACACAAAATAAAATCCCCACAAAACTGCTGATCCAGTCCAAGCCCAATTTTGTTCCCTCCCAATGAAAACTGTGAAGAGAACCCCAAAGACTAAAGGCAAGTTCAACAGTAAAGCATTTATTTAGTGCATAAACCAGAGCAGGACGAGGCTGGTAGTAAACAGAACAATTTGCTACCGTATCAAAGTGAGGCCAACAATTTCTGTGAAGGAGTCACTGGAAAGCTCCAGCAGATTGCAAACTGGGTCCTTCTGGTAAAATCTGAGACAGATGTATCTTTTAATCAGTAAGAAAAAGGAACAAATTCCCCATAAAGGCTCCACTCAAGATTTCCTCCAGGTAAACAGCAAATGTTTGCTTTCCTTTGCATGATGGGGTGACCGATGCACACAGAACAAGCTGATGAAGGAAGACAGTTACTACCAGAGAAACCGGAAAGAATTCAACTCAGGCAAAGGCCCAAATCAGCTCAACATGAGCGAAAGCAGTTATCTGTAAACTGCATGTCTGAACTCATAAGGAATTGAAAGAATGAGGTTCAACTTCAGGCAAGTGGTTCACACAGAAAAGCTAATACTGAAAAAAGAAACAGCATATTTTTTGCAGGTCCAAGACTTCTTGAGTATAAACTTCCATGAGCAAAGAATGTTAGAACTCGGGCTCAAAGTTTCTTCCTATCTATACTTTCAGAGTCTCTCCACTGAGTGAGACTTTCGATGGAGAATAAGGCCAGAGTGTTGAGTAAAAGACTTCCCACATTTGCCACACTCATATGGCCTTTCTCCAGTGTGAACTACCTGGTGTTGAATGAGGCCAGACTTTTGAATAAAGGACTTTCCACACTGGCCACATTCATAAGGTCTTAATCCAGTGTGAATTTTCTGGTGTTCTACTAGAGTATAGCTTTGTCTAAAGAATTTCCCACATTCGGTACACTCAAAAGGTTTTTCTCCAGTGTGAGTTCTCTGGTGCCGAACAAGTTTGGATTTGAACATAAAAGATTTCCCACAATCCCCACACTCATAAGGCCTTTCTGAACTGTGAACTTTCTGGTGTTTATTGAGGGCGCCCCTTTGGCTAAAGGATTTTCCACACTCATTACACTCAAAAGGCCGAGCTCTACTGTGAATTAACTGGTGTTGAGTGAGGCCATACTTCAAGCTAAAGGATTTTCCACACTGGCCACACTCATAAGGCCTTGTTCCAGTGTGAATTATTCGATGTTCCAGCAGGCTATGGCTCTGTGTGAAGAATTTCCCACATTTATCACATTCATAAGGCTTTACTCCTGTGTGAATTTTCTGGTGCCGGACAAGAGTTGATTTGGACCCAAAGGCTTTCCCACATTCATTACACTCATAAGGCCTTTCTCCAGTATGGGTTCTGCAGTGTTCAATAAGGTTGGAACTTTGGCTAAAGGATTTCCCACATTCAAGACACTCGTAAGGCTTTTCTCCAGTGTGAACTCTGTAATGTTTAATAAGGGTGGCTCTTTGGCTAAATGTTTTCCCACATTCACCACATTCATAGGGCCTTTCTCCTGTGTGAATTCTGTGATGGTCATTCAGGTGAGAAGATTGGCTAAAAGATTTTCCACATTCATTGCACTCATAAGGCCTTTCTCCATTGTGGACTCTGGGGAGATGAATACGCGAGCATTTGCGGTGGTAGTCTTTCTTACATTTGGTGGACTCATAAAGTCTTTTTCCAGCATAGACTTTTGGGTGGCGAACTTGAGTGTACTTATGGCTGAAAGCTTTTCTATATTCACTCCATATGTAACACCTTATTCCAATACAGAAGTCCTCTTCACATTCAGTGATTCTGTTTGGCTGCTTGTAGTTGGGAATGGCCTGGGGAGGGATAAAGTCCGATGTGGCTGGGAGGTCCTTTCCAACATCTGCACAGGTGAACGGCTTCCCTGACACACAGACTCTGCAGTTCTTCAAAAATGAGGCCTTGTCCATGTCTCTTTTCAAGATTTTCTCTGGGCTGGGATGATTCCGGTCTTGGGGAAGGTTTGTACATGCACCAATCAAATACGGTCTCTGCCTAGGTCGATTAGCCAAGTGCAAAATGTCCTTCAGGACTGGGACGCACATCTCATACGGGTAAGTCTCCTGGGTGGGTGGATTTGGTTTTGGAGACCTCACAAGTGACAATCTTTCCACAGAAACTTGCTCAAAAGGTAGCTCTTTATTCCCCACTCCGTGCCAACAAACTGAAAACAGAGAAATAATTATGAAATATATATTCAGTATGGTGACAGTATACTAATTATATTTTAATGTATTTTCAATATAATGTATTTATTAACTTTTTGTTTATTTTTGAGACAAAGTCTCCCTGTATCCCCAGCAGGCCTGGAACTTGCTATGTAGACCAGGCTGGACTCAATCTCATAGAGGTCCTCCTGCCTCTGCCTCCCTGCCTCTTGAGTGCTAGAAATAAAGGTATACTCTACCATGCCTGATTCTTCATTTTTAGATATTTTATTTTTCAAACAAGGTCTCATGTATTTCAGGTTCAATCACATTATGTAACTGCAGATGACCTTAAGTTTATGACCTTTCTGCCTCCATGAGTATGTATATACTATCATGCCCAGTTTCTGTGCAGCTGGTGATTGAACTCAGGGTTTCTAACGTACTAGGTAAGGACTCTAAAACTAAGCTCCATCCCCAGCCCCATATACAATGTGATTTTTTAAATTTTTTTACTTTTTTTTTTCCATGAAGCTGGGGATCACCTCAGGACTTTAAATTTGTAGTCAAATATTCTACTGCTGAGCTCTATGCTGGTGTGGATTTTTAGAGCTCTTTAAAAACTTGGCTAAAACCATGGTATGATGGCATACATCTCCACTGCTAGATATCTGCAAGGGTGAGGCAGGATTGCCTTAGCACAGACATTCGGGGCCTGCTTGGGCAACATGGCAAGACTCTTGAAAAAGAGTTGTTGCTTGGCGTAGTGCCACACCCTTTAATCCCAGCACTTGGGAGGCAGAGGCAGGCAGATCTCTGTAAGTCTGAAGCCAACCTGGTCTACATAGCAAGTTCCAGGCCAGCTGGGGCTACAGGAAGACCCTGTCTCAAAAAGACCCCCCCCCAAAAAAAGATTTGTTTTGTTTTTTAAATACTGCTGCCTGAGAGACTACTATTCTTTAAAGCAAGATAGTTCTTAGGAGACTAGAAAGGGCTTCACTGAGAGCATAACATTTGTAGTTGAAGGAACCAATCAAGAGCCCATATTCCAAGCCACATCTGTCTCAGGCACCTCAGGATGTAATATTACTCTACCCTGCACCTCAAGTTCAGGTAGCAAACAAGTAATTACAGTCAACCAGCCCTTTTGCCCTATACATTCGCTGTAATTGTTCAAAACTGTCCAATCCTAAAGTATTTACCATGTCTTGATTGTCATGAAGAAACTCCAAACGTGGTTATGGTTTAAGGTATTCTCTTGCCTCTTACTTCTGCTTCCTGATCATCAAGAACCTCTCATTTGACCCCCAACCATCTTCTGTCAATGACACTAACCTCCTAACCTCTCAGTGTTGGCACTCAATCATCTCAACAACTGAAAATCTTGCAGGTACCTTGTAAAACAAGAAAGGGAGAGTTTCATGATACATCTATCAAGGAATGCAGTTCTTTGGTGTATTGATCTGAGAGTGGGGAAACAAGGTGTGGGGTGTAGAAAGGGCTACTAGGGAGTATGGGGCCTATCCCACAAAATGTGGAGGCCTCACCAGACAAAGGATAACAGGTTGAAGTATACCACATGGACAAGAGGCAATTTATTCTTCTGTCAACTTGTCATCTGGTGATATCTACATTCTCTGCTGAAGGTTGACAGTGTCCACGACCAGGGATATCCAATTGGAACTAAGTAGGAGATCTTAATTGTGTTCAAGGAACATTTAATCATCTATTCTTCACAACATGTGGATATGAGTACTGGGAAACACCACAGAGCGCAGGGCAAAGGAACACGTGGCACATCATAGGACAATGCAACTCATGAAGGCTAGATGTCCTATGTGATCACACTGCATATTCACCATGTATAGCTATCTTGTGTTCAAGGAATACTTAATAATCTAACCTCACACCCCCTGTCATACCACTGCACACATCCTGAATGAAACAAGTCTTAAGAGAAAGGCAAGACAGATGAGCCTCTAGCAAAGACCCAGAACAACTTAGCACATTGGAGGTCACGGGGCAGAAAATTAGCATTACAAACATTCTTGAAGGAGGTTTTGATAATAGCATATAGTCCCATGTAAACAAATATTGATCATGACCATGTCTGTAATTTCTGACTCTGGCAGTACAAGGAGATACTATCTAGAAAGAGGTGAAAAAAACAGGGAACACAAAGTTCCATAGATCTAGAGATAGCAAACAAAAAGTAGAAGTTGGTAAGTAAGGTGAGACCTATTATGTTGATACAAGGTACATGATTCCCAGACCCTTTTGGGCACTTTCTGGGACAGCAGATTTCAGGCTTCTTTGAACAGTGTACATAGATTCTTTTATGAAAACTCTGCATATATGTAAGTGCACCAGTGTTGTGCAGTGCCCACAGATGTCAGAAGAGGGCATCAGATCCCTTGGAACTGGAGTTACAGATGGTTGTTAGCTGCCATGTAGGTACTGGGAACCAAACCCAGGTCTTCTTGAGCCAGTGCTCTTAAACTGCTGAGCCATCTCTCCAACCCTGATAATTCTTGCACATATGCCAAGATAGGGGAGAAGAAACAGAACCCAAAGTCTTGCTCTGGAGAGGGCAAAGCTGTCTGTAAGTGGATGACCAGAGACTAGCTCATGAAACGGGATGTATATCAGGGCCTTACCCACTGAAGTTACAAGTGCAAAGTTCTCCAGCATCACTCTGAGGTACAGCAGCTTCTGAGCCCCATCAAGGAGCTCCCACTCTTCCTCAGAGAAACAGACGGCCACATCCTCAAAGGTCACAAATTCCTGCCACAGAGGAACAGATCTTTCCATTATCAGCTTTTCTCTTAGGATCCCAAGTTTGCCACTCCCAGTCACTCCAGTAACTCTTCCCCTGACTTCCCTTTCCCAATCCCCACCTTTGAGGAGATAATTGGTGATTCTGATGTCCACTCTGATAATTCTTCCACTCACCCTTACATCATCCAAAAGCACCAACTGTGGGAGGTGGAACGTGAGATACCATTTAAACTCTGAGCCTGGTATGTACAGTCCATAGTCAATTATCCTGAGGTTATCAAAATTGTACCTTTCCAATACAAATACTTTGGGACTCATCTATCATGCTGAAGGTCTCAGCACCACACTCCTTGGAAACTCATTCGCATCACTACCTCTACCCACCATCCTATACCATAGACCTCTATCTGCTCTCCTTATATTACTCAAAACATGACAGAGTGCTAAAACAACAGACCCTCTATCTCTCTCTCTCAGAAATCAGGCCACACTCTCCTGCAGATCAATCTTACTCTCTCTCTCTCTCTCTCTCTCTCTCTCTCTCTCTCTCTCATAGAGTTGAGGCTGTGCTGTGGCCTCACATCACAGCCCCTTCCTCCCATAGTTGCAAGATAGATTTATAGTCTCACCCAGTACCTGGTTCCTTCGTAGGTAAGCTATCAGATTAAATAATATGTTGTGAAATTTCTCACCAGCTCCCACAAATCTAGAAGAAATATTTGTATGGCCTACCAAAATTAAATCAAAATGACACAAATAATTTAACAATAATTTAATAGATTCATAACAACCAAAGCAATATAGTAATTAAAACCCTCGAAACTAAAAAGAGCCCAAGACAAGATGGATACACCACAGAATTCTACTATAACTTCAAAGAACTAATAACAATACTCCTCAAATTATTTTGAAAAAAAATAGAAAATGAAGGAACATCCCCAAATTCCTTCTATGAAGTCACTATTAGTCTAATAATAAAACCAGACAAAGGATCAACAAAAAAGAAACTTATAGACCAATCTTTCTGATGAATGCAGATGCAAAAATTCCAAATGAAATACAATCCTAATGCAAGAACACATCAAAAAGATTATCTACCATGAGCAAGCTGGCTTCATCCCAGAGATGCAGGAATATATGTAAATCAATGAATTTAATCCACCACATAAACAGACTCAAAGACAAAAACCACGTGATCATCTCATTAGATGGAGAAAAAAGATCTTTCACAAAATCCAACAGCCATTCATGATAAAAGTTGTGGAGAACCTAGACATATAGGGAACATATCTCAACACAATAAAGGCAATATACCACAAGCCCACAGCCAACATCATACTAAATGGAGAAAAACCCAAAGCATTCCAATTAAAATCAGGCATAAGACAAGGATGTCCACTCTCTCTGTTCCTGTTCAATGTAATACTTGAAGTTTTAGCTAGAGTAATAAGAGAAATGAAGGAGATAAAGGGGGTACGAATTTGAAAGAAGCTACCTTTATTTGAAGATGATATGATTCTATACATAAGGGACTCTTAACAACAACACCAGAAAACTACTACAACTCATAAATATTAGCCAAGTAACAGGATATAAAATTAACAACCCCAAATCAGTAGCCTTCCTATATACTACCAACAAACATATAGAGAAAAATTCCAGGAAATGATCCCATTCATGATAGGCTCAAAATCCATAAAAAATTTTTAATAAATCTATCAAAGGGAGTGAAGGACTTGGACAATGAAATCTTTAAGACACTGAAGAAACTCACCGGAAATGGTGGCACATGCCTTTAATCCCAGCACTTGGGAGGCAGAGGCAGGAGGATCTCTGTGAGTTCAAGGCTAGCCTGGTCTATGTAGTGAGTTCCAGGTCTCAAAAAGACCAAAAAAATAAAAGCCTCCCATGTTCATGGACTGGTAGGATTAATTTTATGAAAATGGCCATCGTATGAAAAGCAATCTACAAATTCAATGCAATACTCATTCCAACACAATTCTTCACAGAAACTGGACAAATAATCTCAAATTTCATATGGAAAACACAAAAACCCAGGATAGACAAAATAATCCTGAATGATAAAAGAACTGCTGGAGGCATCACCATCCCTGCTCTCAAAAACAAACGAATGAAAGCAAGAAAGGAAGGAAGAAAGGAGGGAGGGAGGGAGGGAAGGAAGGAGGGAAGGAAGGGAAAGAAGAAAGAAAGAAAGAAAGGAAGGAGGGAGGGAGGGAAGGAAGGGAAAGAAGAAAGAAAGAAAGGAAAGAAAGAAAGAAAGAAAGAAAGAAAGAAAGAAAGAAAGAAAGAAAGGAAGGAGGGAGGGAGGGAGGGAAGGAAGGAAGGGAAAGAAGAAAGAAAGCAAGAAAGAAAGGAAGAAAGGAAGGAGGGAGGGAGGGAAGGAAGGAAGGAAGGAAGGGAAGGGAAAGAAGAAAGAAAGAAAGAAAGGAAGAAAGGAAGGAGGGAGGGAGGGAAGGAAGGAAGGAGGGAGGGAAGGGAAAGAAGAAAGAAAGAAAGGAAGGAAGGAAGGAAGGGAAAGAAGAAAGAAAGCAAGAAAGAAAGAAAGAAAGGAAGGAGAGCTAGGGCTACAGGAGACCCTGGGAAAGAAGAAAGAAAGAAAGAAGAAAGAAAGAAAGAAAGAAGGAAAGGAAGGAAGGAAGGAAGGAAGAAGGAAGGAAGGAAGGAAGGGAAAGAAGAAAGAAAGAAAGAAAGAAAGAAAGAAAGAAAGAAAGAAAGAAAGGAAAGAAGGAAAGAGAGAAAGAAAAACAAAGCCAGAAGCAGGTGTCTGATCCCCTGGAACTGGCATTATGAACAGTTGTTAGCCATAATGTGGGTTCTAGGAATTGAACCTGTGTCCTCTGGAAGAGTGCTCTTTACTGCTGAGCCATCTCTCCAGCCCAGACACCTAATTTTTGCAAAGGAGTCAAAAATATACAGTGGAGAAAAGAAAGCATGTTCAACAAATGGTGCTGGTAAAACTGGGTAAGGGCATGTAGAAGATTAAAAATAGATTCTTATCTCTCACCATACACAAAACAACTCAAAATGGATCAAGGATCTTAACATAAGACCTGATCAGAGTAGTGAATATATTGGAAGTTATAGGTACGGGAAAGGACTTTCTGAACAGGGCTCCTATAATGCAATCATTAAGTCCCACAATTGACAAATTGGAACACATGGAAATAAAAAGTTTCTGTACATTAAAGGACACCACCTTTTGAGTGAAGAGGAAACTTATAGAATGGGAAAAAATCTACCAGCTATACCTCTGACAGGTGGCTACTATCTAGAATACAAAAAGAACTCAAAGCTAAACATTAACAAAACAAGCATCCAATTAAAAGTGGGGTATAGAACTGAATAGGGAGTTCTCTAAAGAGGAAACACAAATAACAGAAATACTTTAAAAATGTTCAGCATCTTTAGTCATCAGGGAAATGCAAATTAATATCACTTTGAAATTTCATTTTACCCCAGTCAGAATGGCTAAGATCTACAAAATAAGTAATGACAAATGCTGGAGAAAGGAGAACTCTTATGCATTGCTGGTTGCAGTATAAACTGGTGCAGCCACTATGGAAATCAGTGTGGAGATTCCTCAAAAAAGTCAAAATTGATCTATCTTATGATCCAGCCATACTACTTGGGCATATACCCAAAAGACTATACCCTACTTTAGAAATCATGTTCATCAATGTTCATTACTGTCTTTTTCATAATAGCTAGAAACTGGAAACAATCTAGATGTCTATCTACTGATGAACAAATGGATAATGAAGGTGTGGCACATACACACAACAGAATATTATTCAGCTCTTATTAAAAAAAAAGGCAACTATGGGCCGGGCGTGGTGGCGCATGCCTTTAATCCCAGCACTTGGGAGGCAGAGGCAGGCAGATTTCTATGAGTTCAAGCCCAGCCTGGTTACATGCAGGCAATACACTCATACACATAAAATAAAAATATTTTTAAAAAACAAAAACAAAACCCAGCACTTGGGAGGCAGAAGCAGGCCTGTGAGTTCAAGGCCAACCTAGTCTACATAGTGAGTTCCAGGCCAGTTGGGGCTACATGTTAACAGCCTCCAGTGAGCAAAGGCATAAATTACCTAAGAATCTTTTCAAAGAATCAAAAAAAAAAAAAAAAAAAAAAAAAAAAGGCAACTATGCAATTCACAGGTAAATGGATGGAACAGTAAGCAATCATCCTAAGTGAGGTAACCCAGACAGGCAAATGTTGCATGTTCTCTTTCATACCTGGATACTAGCTTTGAAAGCTTAGATATGCATGTTTCAATTTGAAAATCCAGAGATGTCAAGAAATTAATAAAGGGTCATGGGCCAAGGGGGTAGGGAGAGCTTTCTTGGGAGGAGTGGTAGAAAGCAGTGCTATGAAGGGGAAGAGGACCATGAGGGTAGGAAGGGTTAAATGGGGTGAGGAATGGGAGGGTCGGATAGAGGAGGGAAGATTGGGAGGAATAGTAACATTAAAGGCCTTTATGAAAAGCCATAGAAACCTAACATTACAGAAGCTTATTTTTTCCCCCACAAATTCTTTTAAATGAAAATTCTTTTATTAGGAGTAAAATCTACTAAAAGAACAATAGAAATTATAACAGTTCTTTCGAAAAGAAATACAGATAAACTGTTTTGAAAAGATTTAAAGAAATGGTATAAGTAACTTTGATAGTATGATAAGACATTCATAATAATTATAATAATAATTATATTCAGATTTATAGCACAATTTAGTCTAAGAAGATAAAGATGTGTAGCCTTTAGAAGCTTCTTAAAGTACATAAAACAACCAACCAACCAAAACAACCAAAAATTCCCTCAATGCTAGGAATGGCCTCCCTTTCCTGAAGCTGTTAACCAGGGGTCCCGTAGACCCTCAAACAATACTAGCCATTGCCTTTGCTCTTGGTTACCCACCAGAACTTTATGGTAAGACCCTACTGCTGAAAATTCTACATACCTGAGCTGTAGAACAAATGATGAAAAGTCAAGCTAGCGCTGACTTCAAAGTCTCATCTACTGGCTAGCGTTCATAGTGCTGGAAGGAAAAAAAATACAACTGGTCTGGCAAGCTATCGCCCACTGGTACAACAGTGGCACAAATATGGGAGTAACCAAACACTCTCCGCTTGGATTTAGGGTCTGCCTCATACGATGCAGTCCATACCTGAGATACCAGGCTTAGGAACACGAGGCTAAAAAGGTCACAGGACATAGGGGAGAGCCTAGTGCTAGTTTTTATTTGTTTGTTTGTTTCTATTAAATATTGATATGAAACTGACTCCTTAAACTGACTTATTGTTATACCTACAGCCTAATGTATCTCTCCACTCTCACCAGATCATACTTCCTTATGCAGATGTTGATTAACATAGAAACCCACAACCAACCAATGTGTGTAGAACAAGAGGCTGCAGAGTGCTTATCCCTGAATAGGACAGCTATATCAAACTTCTGCCTCCCAAGGCTCAGGGATCACTGTAGAAGAGGAGGTGGAAAGACAGTAAGAGCCAGAGGTGGTGGATGACCACAAGGGAACAGAGTTTTCTAGACAGCTGGTCAGTTACGAGTATGACAGCAATGGTGACAGCATGCACAAGTCCCACAAAATTCTAGCATAGACATGGGGAAGTGGGTAAAAATCCCCAAGTTAATCTAAGGAAATTTTGGCAACTGATTGCTGTTGGGAGGGGGAGAGACAGTCTCTTTCATGGCTTGGAGTCTTGGTAGATTTAAACAAGCTCCAGTGGATGGACTGACACTGAAGGACATTTGAGAACATAAATTAGACGATAGAATATATTAAATTGGGTGGGGAGCAAACAGAGGAAGTGAAGATTGGGGGTGGGGAATCTAAATACTATCCAATTATACTGTATGAAAATTACAAAGATTCAATAAAATAAAAATTCAAAAAAGTGAAATAGTAAAGAAAAAATAGAAGACATATGCTTTGGTTCATAGCAAGGTCTAGAGGCCTCACTTGTGACAGCCTTCTTACTGCAGTCAGGAGGCAGGACAGGGCAACATATGATGAGACAGGAAGCAGGCACAGCATGTATGTGTCTCTTTCTTTATAAAGCCACCAGGATTCAATAATGGGGCCCCACCTTAATGACTCAGTTCCATCCTCATCACTTCCTAAAGACTCCATCTCTAAGCAGGACAGTCAGACTAAGTTTCCACACTGAGGATTACATTTCAACAAGAAACATGGGAGGTTACTCAAGCCATTTCCAAACCATAGCAGCTTCTCTGCCTGAGTTCCGTGTTTCAATCTTCACTATGCCTGAACCACCTGCAGATCTCAAACACCCATGTCGCTCTTCTAATTCTTTGCACTTGTTATCTCCTCTCTAGTCACCTTTTTCCTCTTCTTTTCCTGACACTATTTAATGTTACACCATACTATCCCTCTACCTCAGTCCCAATGACTCTCCCTGATGAATACCTGTGTCCTTAAACTTGAGATCTAACAGAAACTCCTCAGACACACTAAAGGCGACTACAGAATCCTGGGGGATGCCGAATAAACACTGTCTTACCTTCAGTGCCCCATTAATCCTGGTCTTCACATTGACCTTAATGTCCACTCATTCCTTAGCACTTTGGCAACTTGGCACATTTCATACCCTCCCCAAGGCTCCTTCTGTCCCAGAGCTACCTTTGTGATTCCCAGTGATCACCTAAACGTAAAACCTACCAGTGACCCCCCCACCATCCTTTCCCTAGGTTCTTAATAGCATTACCAAAACTACCAAGATTCCCTCTAAATGTGACCCAAATTATACCCTAGTACAAATACTGATCACTGCCTTTTGAAAGTTTCCATCTTGAATCTCCTTCACTCTCTGTGTAAACTACTCATTTACTATGTTCAAATCAGGTGGTCTTTGAAGTATCTCAGATTCTAATCATGTCCCCAAACCATATTCTGTATAGCTCCAATGTCAACTGCCCCCACCACAAACTTTACCCCAGGCTTAGCAGAGCTTCCAGGCCTCTCTGGCTGCTAAACACAAATACTACACTTTCACAAACCCTAGCTCCTTTCTGCCACTCACCCCAGTATCTGTAAATCTGACATTCCTTATTTAAACAAAGAAAAAAATCTAGACTGGAACAACCACCTCCATGGCCACCACACTGGTCCAGCCACCATCAACACTGACCTACACTGCAATGGCCTTCTTCTCCCTTTTCTGTCTCTTGCATATCAACAGAGAATGTGATGAGATGTGGGTCAGATAACTTCAGCGCCCATTGCATTCAATTCAGAAGAGACACCTGAGAAAACATGTCTGACAATACAGTCAAGCTTTAAGGTCCCATGAGAAATAAAAGAAACTAAACCAACTCTGCCTCAATTTCAAGTATTTGTTTATCAGATACCCCAGCCTGGGACAAGCTTCCCTTTATATGAATTATCTTGGGGAGACACTAAAAAATGTCCTTTCACCCCAGGCAGAGCACAAACAGACCAAAGTAATAATGATGTAACTAACCAAATGTAGCTTGGTGAACCAGTGAGTTTACTTAGATTACTTACAGGAGCATGGGTAGAGGGGCTACTTTCAGAAGGGGGGAGGGGGTGGAGGAGGCACCTCAAGGCAACTGCATTGTCAGAAAGTGCAGCATAGCCCAACAACTCCGCAAACCTAAATCACTAAATATCCCCCCCACCCCTCATCCCCCTGGATGTCCGGACAGCATCAGGTGAGCATCTCATGAACCTTTCCTCTCTTTTTACAAGGGAATGTTAACAGTTCCGTTATTACGACGTTATCACTGAATTGTTTTATTTATTTCATTGTCATGATTAAGGGAACAACCTATTCTGTAGGTAACCAGAATAATCTCTGCTCCATAATGGCCAGTGGTCTTGTTACGCCCACAGGAGAAAACTATTTAACACTTCCACACATCATTTCCCTGGTTTCCACCACTAAGAACCACTCCTTACAGTCCCCCATCTGGACGGTTCCGGTACTTAGTGTTTGTTCAGGGTTTGTAGGCCAAGATCTAGAAGTGTGTCCTGAAGAGTGTGTCAGAATGTGACAAAGAATGCTCCGGGCTCCAGTGCGGCCCTAGAATACTTTCCACTTACCTGCGTTAAGTCCATAAGCCCTTCTGTAGTCACGGGAACCTGTAAGAAGAGGACCGGTGTGAGGGTCAAGTGTCCACAGTAGGGGCTCCAGGCGTACATGCCTCTGTTTCCCTGCCCAGATCGGAAGCAGAGACCCGGGGATGACTGTGTGAAGGATCTCCCCAAATGCTCTCTCTTCCTGTGAGAACTTGCACAATATCCCAACCTTTTCTGCACGTCAGTTACTCCTTTCCAAGCTGTTCCAGCCCTGAATATAACGCCTAGAAACTTCAAAAAACCTAACTCAAATGGGGACTTTATCTGTGATCCCCGCAGTTTTGAACAAAGGGATTACTATTCTACCAGTGTGAGGAGGCCCTGCGAGGGGCCTGGGGTGGTGGACTCGGCACTCACCGGAGCCGAGTACCTCACAGCGGCCACCGCCATCGGATATACGATCAACACCCACAGCGGCCCCCAGACCAGCCCGGGGCAGCGGTGACCAGGTCCTGTCTGCACCGACCGAACGGTCCCAACGGTGCTGGAACAGAGGAATCAACAGAAAAACCAGGTGGACCGGTCAGAAGCAGTGCGGAAGTCCCGCCTCGCTGTAGGACCAAGGACAGGGATATCCGATACTGATCGTTCATTGGCTGAGTGCAGTCGTCCTTGGCGCACTGCATTCTGGGCAGCGTAGTTCTCATAGTACCCTGGACAGTGCTTTCCGTGCTCACAGGGGAACGCTTGCCAAAGCAACAGTCCCACCTACGAAGGGTACAAGAAAAGCTCTTTCTACCCTTTCTTGTCTTTCCTTCCTCCCTTCCTTCCTTTCTTCCTTCCCTCCCTTCCTCCTTTTGCTTTTTTCCTTCCTGCCATTTCTCAACATATAAATTTTTACTTAATTCTGGAATATCTTGTGAAATTGATATTTCAATATATATCATTGTGTACTCTTCTTTAAAATCAGAATAATTTTTTTAGATTAAGCTTCCCTTTATGTATGTATGTATGTATGTATGTATGTATGTATGTATGTATTTGGAGACAAGGTATCATTTATCCTAGGCTGGCCTTAAAATCATTACATAGCAGAGGATAACCTTGAAGTCCTGATTCTCCTGTCTCCACATCCTGAGTGCTGGGATGACAGGTCTGCTGCATCATGTCAAGTTTATGCGCTGCTGGGAATCGAACCCAGGCCTTTATGCATGCTAGGCAAGCATTCTTCCAACTGAGCCACAATCCCTGGCCTTCGTTTCTTTATTTTTTTCATAATTTCAAATACATCATGTACTTTGACCATAATGAACTCTTACTTTTTTGGTCTTTTTGAGACAGGGTCTCCCTGTAGCCCCAGCTGTCCTGGAACTCACTATGTAGACCAGGCTGGCCTTGAACTCATAGAGATCTGCCTGCCTCTGCCGCCAGAGTGCTGGGATTAAAGGCATGCACCACCACGCCTGGCTGAACTCTTACCCTTTTATCCCCTCTCCCTTCCTGCCACTAGTCTTCTTCCTTACCTTCCCTCCTGCTTTACTGTCATGTATCTACAAATGTATCTAATATACTAGATACAAATGACAACTTTTCTATTGGCACTGGCTCCTCAGAACCTTCCTTCCTCTCACAGTTTTGCATGAGGACAGTAGTGCTTTATGGGCTTAATGCAGGTGCATGAAAGGTCTATTTAGGGTTTCACTGGAGTTGGCCCCATTATTTTTCATTGGGATTATTACATTCTACAACTAGGTGGAGTCTCCTTTGCAGTTGGGAACCAAGGCTTTTAAGTATCTTTTTTTTTCCCCAGTAGTGTTGACTTTTCCTGAATAAAGCCACTGCTTTTAGCTGCTCTGAATGGACACATTTTCCCATACAGCTTTCCATACAAGAGAACTGTGTGTCATTTTTCCTGGGGAAAACAAACATCCACTCACCCCAGATAGGGAATCAATGTCAAACCAAAGTAAGGATACCACCAAAATCTAATTTAGTGAATCAATTAATTGGATTGTGGTCACTTACAGGAATGTGGGTGAGGGGTGACTTAACAGGAGCAGAAATAACTCTGAGACAGTTGCATCAAAAGACCACCCCAGCATGGGTGACAGCTCATGAAAATAGGAACCGTGGACCTCACTCATAACTTGCAGGCAGCTAAAGGGGGTTGGAAAGTGTGCTTTTCTGGCAGCTCAGGTGGTCTTTGCTTCCTCCAATCAACTCAGCTGGTCTTTGCTTTCAGGCTGCTCAGTTTGTTTGAGATTATCTCTCAGCAGTCCTTAAGTGCTTGTATATGCTTGAGGAGGGAGGGATCTAATGCCCCTGGTCAATTTCAGGGACTTCCTGAAGCTACTGAATTGTTTACTTCCTGAGCTTAATGAGTTTCTCTGCAGGATGGAGTGTTTCACCTCCCCTCAAAACATCTTGCTGTTTACCTTCCTTTAGAACATCCTGTTGTTTACCCATCCTCCCTCCAAGATGGAAGATTTTGTTTAGAAGGAACCGGCTACACAACAGTGAATTCCACATTCAGGGGAGGTTTTTCCTTGCTTCTGAAGTGCCATTAGGGTCTGTCTTCCATGGGTTCTGTCAGAGACACAGGAGGAAAAGCCCAGACTCTGCAGTGACAGTACACTTTTATCAGTAAATAATACAAACTATAGTATACATATAGAATTGTGTATTGTAGACACAGTTTCTCGTGTTTCTAAATAAGCAAAGATATTGGGGGTGTGGGGTCATTTGACTCCCTAGTTGGCAACTGTTGCAGTCTCCTTCGCTGCCCTGGCTACCTTGAGCAAATGCACTGTCAGTCAAACCATCAGTGGACTATTACTGGCCCATATGAAAATGTTACAGACTCCTTGGGAAAATACCCCAGCACCACAGCTGATTATTCTGGCTCCTGAAGATCCAGCCTTGCTGTAACTTTCAAATAGTCTGTATTGGGCATTTTGTTATCACACAAACCTCAATGAACTCTAGATGGCTCTGCAACAACTTTCATTCTCAGACAGAGGGGAGCGCTTTCCTTGGCCTAGCAGAGGGATTGTAGTGACTCCTGCTAAGAGAACAATGCTGTGATGAGTGTGAATACCTCTCTCCCGGCTATGTACTGTCAAGCTTCACAAATATGAAATTTCTCACTGTTGATGTAATGTGAGTTTGGCATTTATTCCCCTTCCAGATTATCCAATGTATACAAAGGCTTTCAATGGAATCATGTCATTTTTTATTTATTATTTTTATTTTTTATGTGTATTGTGTGTATTGCCTGCATGTACGTAAATGCACCCATGTCATGCAATGCCTGCAGAGGCCAGAAGAAGCTGTTGGATCCCCTGGGACTGGAGTTACAGACAGTTGTTAGCTGCCATGTGGGTCCTGGGATTCGAACCCAGGTCTTCTGCAAGAACAAGCAGTGTTCTGAACCCCTGAGCCATCTCTCCAGCCTCATGTTTTAAAACAACATTCTTAATGTTCATTTCAATATTACCTTCAGCGTCAGGCCCTTGGTCTCTTGGTATAAATTCAGGACCTGCTGTTGAAATCAGGATGCCAAAGAACTTGTTAAGATGAGACTGAGGTCCCCTTTGTCTCCATGCACCCCAGCATTTCTTTGTCTTCTTTTTCAGATTGGATGCTTGCACATGCATTTCTAATCTCTAAATATCTGATTATTACTAGTCACAGTTGGTTACTTTCTGAGCTTCTAGGCATCTGAGCATGGATATGAAGTCATCAGGTAGATTTCAATGGTAATGTTTTTCACATCTACTAATTATTCATGCTTTTTTTAAAGCAATGATAATAAAAAAGAAATTAAAGAATTTATCATTAAAACTAATAGTGACTTCCACATGTTTTAATAGTACTAGCCTACTCTGGGAAAGGTGGATCCCCCTCATGTGTTTTACTTACAGTCTCCTTCAACTGGGTTTCCCAAGGATCTCCTTACACCCACTCACATATTCTCTGGTCCAGGTCACTCCCCTCCTCTGTCCCCAGACAACCTTGGATCACAAGTGGCTCCACGACCTGAAGCACATGGCCCTTGGAGGAGGGAAAACTCAGAATGTTTCTTGTGGAATGTTGAGCATGCTGTGGAGACTCCGACAGGACACCTAGAGGACACACTCCCCACCCATCTCTGAGCAAAGCCTCATCGGGAACCTGGAAGTCCTGTGGCACTCCTCCCCACCAAATATGTCAAACACAGAAGTGTTTGAAAAGCTTCTCAGTCATTTGTGGACACAAACCTGACTTTATAGACACACACACACACGAAATTTGGTGAGTGTTAGTAAGGGAGGTTGCAGGTCTAAATATGATAAAATATATATTGTATGCAATTCTCGAAAGTTCAATACAAGAAGAACCAGAGAATCTGAAATATGAAAAGGAATCAGTATAGAATCTGAAGAGTGGCCAAAACTAATATGCTGCTAAAAAAAAATGGCCATTTCACAACAAAACAGATTTCTTGCATGGCTGATCAAATATAAAGATGTGGCTCTCAGAAGCAAGTAGCCATGTAACTAAAGCTAAGAAAGGGTCACATGACACCCTGAACTGTAATGATTAATCTTACACGCTGGATGAAGTTGTTGGTGATGGGCCAGCATGTTTTCATTCGCTCTTTGAATAACCCTGTTTTGTAATTTGGATTCTCTTTATCTCAGTGGCCTTAGATATAAAGAAGAACAAATATGACATCTTTAAAAAATATGCCTGAACTTGACGTGGTAGGCCTTAACACAAATAACAGAATGTATGAATTCAAGTGAGGGAACTATGGGAGGGGGACAAGGAGGAAGGGGGTATAAAGACGATTAAGACATTCTACATGAAATACACAAAAATTCAATGAAAATTTAAAAAACTGTGAGTACAACAAAATAAAGATGTCTTTACAGAAAAAAGAAAAGCTTTACAAAGCAATAATGAATTCCTTCTAGTAATGAATTAACACTTATTGTATTAGTTGCTTATTTTTCCTGTGATAAAATATTATGACCAAAAGCAGCTTATGGAAGACAGCTTATTTTGTCTTCCAGTTCCAGAGGGATTACAGTCCTTTGTGGCAAGGAGGCATGGCAGCAAGTGGCAGGCCTGGCTGCTGGCAGGATAACAGAGGCAGGAAGCTGAGAGCATTCAATTGCAAGCAGGAAGTAGAGAGTGAACTTGATGTAGGGTAAAGCTAATAACTCTAAAAGCCTGCCCCCCCCGCCCCCCCATATGCTTCCTCCGGCAAGGCTGTGCTTCCTAAAGGTTCCATGACCTTCCCCAAATAATTCTACCAAGTGGGGACCAAGTGCTCAAATACTTAAGCTTGTGGGGGGCATTTTTTCATTCAAACCACCACAGTTATCAAAAGAGAAAGTCGAATAATACTTGGAAAGAGTTCAGAGAGTGAAAAACCCTCACGGGAGGCTGCTGAAATCATAGCTGATTTGTGTTCCTTCTGACCTATTCATTTGACATGCTTCTCGTTCAGGAAAGGAGCCTGTCTGTCAGGCTATTCTGTTACTGCAAGGTAGAGTTTTTCTGGGTTTTCTGCCCATTGACAGCCCAGGTTGTTCAGAGG